TTTTCTTAAAGGAATAGTTCCATTGAATAAGACCAATACCACTCTCATGTCTGTAGGATGAAACATGAAGCTACAACTGGCAGCTAGTTAGCGTAGCTTAGCACAAAGATTGGAAACAGGGAAACTTACTAGCTTGGCCCCGTCTAAAGCTATTAAGCTCGTACTTTTAAAACTGACTAATTAACACGTTTCTTTAAACCATACAAAATCCAACAAAGTGCGAAATCAACAACAGGGGGTTATGTGCCGGACTAGTTCCGGTTCAAGTTCCTCGTTTCCAGTCTTTGTGATAAGCTAACTGGCTGCTGGTGGTAGCTTAATATTCAAAGGACAGATATGAGAGAGATATTGACCTTCCCATCTAGCTCTCGGAAAGAAAGCAAATAAGCACATTTCCCAAAATGTAGAACCATGTCTTCAAGAAAAAATGCCCCCCAAAAAGTCACTTCACAGCGATTCATACTATAGGGTAGACGAATGTAAGTCTTATTCCTCCAGTTTGAAACATGCTAGACACTCCTACCGCACATGCTCGGCAGACGGATAAAAGTTTAATATATAACATTATACAACAACTAACTTTATTTGATGGATACATTATGTAGTCTAGACATTTTGCTTTGGTTTTCACTATCTTTCAATCACTGTATGTTGGTCTGTTGATGTAATCATCACTGATGACAGTATGTCAAAAAAAGACCAAGTTTCCATGGCCATGAGTAAAGCCATAAGGGTTTTCCATATGTTTGCTCTGATAGACTGATAGTTTCGATGACAGATCCCACTCTGAAGGGACTGCATCCTGGTCTGGGTTTATGCCAAGGTATTGCATGAAAAATTTCTCAATGTTCAATGTGAATCATCCCCCAGCCATGTTTGCCGATGGACTGAAATTACAGCACTTGAACCTGAATTCCTCTGCTAGAAATATTGTGAATATTCCCTCACTGAAGTGCCTTCTTTTGATGTGGATCACAGAGCATCAGTCGTTCATGCTGGCAGGCACAGCGGGGTTGAGTGAAAAGTGTCAGAGCTCTTACTCAGAATAATAACAAACTATATTTTTGTACAACAGCTTAAGAAGTACTTTACAAAAGGACATAAACAAGGACAAGGGAAGTCTAGTTTCTGACCCTGGGAAAAGTGTGACAAAATAATCTCAACTGCATGTTCACATTCTTATTAAATATCATATCTCCTCAGTAGATAGATTGCTTTCTGAAAAATGCAACAAAGCAAGAATCCATTGAAAAACACACACATTTACAATAAGGTTTTACAGAATAAGCTCTTTTTCTAAGCTTTCAACCACATCGTGTGGTTTTCATCAGTGGATGGAATTGCAAACTCTGCTAATAAACACAGTAAGATACTGTTGACAGCCCTAGAAAAAAAGCCAACTATCGTGCAGTTTTTAGCCACGTTGGTGTCGATGCTGGTCAGTCAGTCGCTCCACAACTTTGACATGCAACCAAAGTTTGTGGCCTTTCCATGTTTTCTAATCCTGACTGCGGACTGCAGGACATACAAATGCACTCGCTTGCACACACGGACGTTGGGAGGGGCTGGTAAAATGACAAGAATCCAAACTGTCAAGCGCTTTCAAATTAGAAAGCGAAAAGGAGTCAAGAGGGGACATTCCGCAGCAGTGCCCTGGTCACCTGATCTCTTATGAGGTCAAGGGTCAACTAATGAAACCTACCACCAGCGTCTGTGAGGTTTTGAAGAGAAACAGCTTTACGGTTTACAGTGATGAAACGTAGCCTGACGACTTGACTGGGGATAATTTTAGCAACTCGGCGGCTGCTTTCAGGTTAAAGGAAGAAGCTGATTGAAGTTTTTCTTGAGAAGACGAAATGCTTTTTCAGACAAACTGCAGCTTTTTTAATTAGCTGCGAATGTGCAATTCTGATGGACAAGAAAACTTTAAGAAACATGTCTGAACAATCATATTAGTGTTTTTTTATTGATGTCTTGGTAAGTTTTTTAGAACCTGGATTTTACGTTTATCTTTATCCTTTATCATGTTCGTCTGTCTGAGTTGTTGGTTTCTTGTATTTTTGTCAAGAGGAGTGCTATGTCTTTTACTGCAAACCAAATCTACCATTGCGTACAAATAAAGTAACCTTGAACCTTGAACCTTGACTCAGTTTTAATGTTTTTTTGCTTTTTGTTGTGCAGCTAGTTCCTTCTCGTGCAGGACCTGTGACCTTGTGTGTTTGTCTGTCCGTCTGCAGCTGAGGGTCCCCCTTGGATGACTATGTGTGAAATGTGCAGGGTGCCCCCATGTTGGGAGATTTAGGCAGCAGACCCTCCCTCCACCTCACCCCACCTAACACCCTCCCCAGCAGGAGCAGCTAAGAGGCCAGCCAGAACAATGCCAAGGGAATGGCTTAATTCGCCAGGCCAGATTTACAGCCTCCTGCCCAGCACCTGCTCACATTGTTTCCCAGGATTTGGCTTCAAGAACTTCACAAGAATTGGTGATAATAAAAACTGGACTGCAGGCAATCCATCCTATATAGACACCCCCTCCCCTTAGTTAAAGATTTATTTTTATGTTTGGGAAATCACTTGGACATAGATGAAGAAATCAACTGAGGAAAATCTGACATCATGAATACCCTTCACGGGGGGGTCACTGGGTTTATGGCTGTGCGGTTGTCCAAGACATTAAAGAAGTGTGAGCGCTAGGCAGCAGGGCTTAACCTGCAAACGTCTCTGCATATGTCTGTGGAACTTCAAATGCCTTCAAGTGTTTACGTTGCATTCACGCTTACTCAATTGCACAACATTCTTTGCATGAGCCATTACAATAATAACTAACCAGCGAGGGTGAAGACACTCCCCATGTGTGTGTGTGCTGGTTTGCAGAAGGCACATTCCTGAGCTGGCCTGGGAGAAAGTGAGAGGCTCCGCAGAGGAGCGAGCGACTGCAAAACAGAATTCCCAGAGAGGTTTGAGGAGGGGACGACTGGAGAGCGGAGGCCCCTTTTGTCACCAGGACCTCGTTGGTGCCTCAGGGGCCATATGGACGCCTGCCTCTGTGCACCCTCACATCAGCCCATTCTTCGCCCTCCTCCACCCCCTCCGCTCTGTGACAGGACCGTCCATGTGAATGAGTCATGGCTAGAGTGAAGTCGACCTCAGCTCACTACTGTTGGGGGAATCAACTTCCATCTTTTGCCATCTTCTTTTTTCCCTCTCAGTCTATCCTTCCCTCTCTCACCCAGCATTCAACCAGTTGTATTGCTGTTCCTCATCTGTTCTCTGCTCTCTCTTCCCTTTTGAGGCATCTCAGACACAGTGTGAAAACCTGGCAATAGACAGCTGCCCCTATATTATGCAGATACCCCGCCACCCCCTTTCCCTCTGTCCCTCCGGCCTCTTTTCTGGCAGGATACTGGCTGTCAGTTGTGACTATAGGTTTGCTGGGCTGCTCTTGACCTGAGGTGGACCCAGCACTCTGAGGCGTCCTGATTTTATCCCCATGAAGGAGCGAAACTAATGGAGTCCAGAGAGCTGGAGCAGTACTCGCTGCAACACGCTGCAAGGGATAACAGCATTCTCACAAATGTTGTGAACAATGTGACAGAAGTAAAAGTTGGGAAAACGGAGCAACATGTATGTGTGAGTACTCCACTGCTCCCTTGTTCCTCATCCAGGTTGCAGTCACCTGTAGTGTCGAAAGAGCTGAGTGTCACAAGTGATTAGATAGCAGCTAGCCAGCCAGCACTATATGGAAATTAGCAGGTGATGCTACTGACTCAATGACACATTAGGAATCAGTGTAGCTTCAAATCTAGAGGTAACATGCAACCACAGTTTCATGAAATCACACCAAACCTCGATATACAGTATCATCACCTTATGAAGTTGTTATGCTGAACAGTAGCAAAGAATCACCAGCTAGTTGCTAACTTTGTCTGGCAGGTAGCGTAGCTTTCTGGAGGTTTTTTTTTTTCCCTGAAAGGAGCTGCCTGCTGTGGCTAAAAGCGGTGAGGCCGAAGGCCTGGGCCGTAAAAACAATCAGCCGAAAGACATGGACAGACCTGAAGCTGCAGAGTCAGAGAATTCTCTGTGGTTGTGTTTGTCACCACAAATGAGTCATTTCCCATTACAGAGAGTCATTTTACCCATTGTTTGTACAAGAATATTGAAGTCTTAGTTTTTTTAATTTGTTTTTTCCTAACTCCTACATTTCTAAAATCATCTAAAGGGTTTACAGAAAGCTGTACATACTATTATTTCATTCTCACCTTGCCTTACAGTACCAGAATGCAGTCAATCCTACATCCACCCACTCCATCTGGTTCAGATAGTTGCAGTGTAACTGTTACCTGAATCAAGGCACATTACATAAATTGACCCCATGAGGATCATATTTAGGTGATGATTAGAGACTAACAGATTTTGCATTAAGGTTAAAATGTAATGTAATGTAATGAGGAGTGGGTGGATGTAGGCCCTGACTGTATGTGGTTTGACTTTTAAATTCCTTCTCAATAAAACATTTAAAAAACATCAACAGCAGATGATGAGCCATACAATATTGATGTATATACTAGAGGAGCTCTTAACAACAACATATAAATATCATGAAATCAAAGAGCCATAAAATGACTTTCTGCCAAGGTCAAATCCTTGAGGTATTCCAGACTGTATCCTCAGGGAGCGGTGGTGGTAAAGAGGGCGCTAATGGATGGCATTACCCAGTAACGAGATCTCAGATGAGTGGATGAAAAAAACCCATCAGTGACCCTGAAGCCCCAACCCACAGTCTGAATGTTGATGGCAGAATCAATTTACAAAAATGCTCACTGTTCTCATATTTAACATCTAAGAGACATATAGATCGTATTTCAATAAAAACAGTTCCCACATAAGACAAATATTGTGAAAACTGCAACAAAGATACAAACCATTGTGTTTTTATAAAAGCAGTTCATTAAATTTATAAAAATAAATGATAAAAACCTGCTTTATATGTTTTATAAAAAATGTGATTTGTGTATATATGTGTGTGACTGTGTGTGATATCAGGTATTTTGTTTGTCGGCAGCAGCTGGCCACAAGCCGATGCCCTTCAGGATGCTTTCCTCCAGCATCATGTAATCTTTGTATTCCTTCATGTTCACCTCTTCATTCACTTCCAGGGATTTTGCTGGCTTGTCAGGCTCCTGGGAACAACAAATAATTAGTCATATACCTCATAAACAATATGTAGCAAATTATTGGGCACAAATATCTGACAAACTACATTTTCTTTTGAAATTTAGTACCATGATTTTTCGTTACGTAATATTAATTTCAAGCAAAGCACTGATTAAGAAGACTACATCTTCCGGCAGTTCTGGAATTCAACATTGTTTTATGAACATGTAAATGAGTTATAATCAGTTTGAGATTTCTACATTTCACCAGCCAAAAAATGTACAAATTAAAATATTGTATTTCCATTTTGCAAAACCTGGCTGTATCAATTCCTTTCATCAGAGGTTTTGTTGAGTGTTTGTTAAATGATCATTTTCTGTAATCAAATACAAATACACAGATTACACAGTCCTGCACACGCCCACCAACACACTCATTATACACTCATTTACATTGGCTGCGTAGGAAAACATCAATCATACAGTCTTGTTTGTATTAAATTCCTGAGGCCTTATCATGTGACAACAAAGGCTGGAAGTGAACATAACAGCATATGCAGGAAATCTATGGCTGATTGTAGCCGCAAGAACATAACTTCATCTGCATACATACATGACATCCAGTCTAAGATTTAAACAATTAGCCACTAAAAGATTTAGCTTCTATAGTTAGAAGACAGACTGTCAGTCTCTGGCTGACAATAGCTATACTCTCCCCAGTGCCCTGGATCAAATAATGATCTGAATACATTAAACATGAGGGGAAAGACAAAAATAGAGAGAGACTTAAACAAAGGAGACAGAGAAAGAGAGAATGTCCTTCACCAGCTTTTCCAGAGTCAACTTTAAACTGGTGAACCCACTTTTAACTGGGCTAATACAAATTATTTGTAGGTCTCACTGTACGTTCAGAGCACTGTTCATCAATACCAGTGAGATTAGAGAGTAGCTGAGGACACACGGTCTCAGTCAAGGCCACTTTAAGAGCAAATATTAATGGTTGGGAGAGCAATCATCATGCTGTCTGGATCAGTGGTTTTCAACCTAGGGTCCGGGGTAGGGCTGGGCGATATATCGATATAAAAAATATATCGATA